AGTCAGCGCAGAGCTACCCGGATCTCGTCATCAGAACTGACTGTAGTCGCCCAGTCGCGCGCTATTGAGCCGCGGAGTTGGTCGATCCATGTCGTCCGAGGGTAAGGACGCGTCGACGCGCGTGTTCGGGTCAAGCGAGACTGGTTTTCCTCAACATTTCAATTGTGCTTGACAACAACAAGGATTCGTACACAGCAAAGTCCTGGAACGAGTGCATCGAAGAATTATGGAGAGTGCAGAGTCCACTCTTATTCTGCTTTGAGGCCGGTCCCTCTCTTGCGAAACTGCCGCCTCGACGACCGAAACACCAACCAGATCAAGAACCACATGAAACTCGCAACGCCAAGCGTACCCGCAAGGATCGCACCCCACACGGCGAGACCAACTGGTTCGCCGTTCGGCTTGACCAGGTCACGATTGCCTTGATGAGGTACTTCGGCATTGAGCGAAAACAGACCTGTGCGCAGACACGATGAGCCTGTCTCTACCATAGACCAAGATGTTCACCGTGACCCAAGACGCACCCGTAAAAATTTGGATCGGCAAAATCGTCAATGTCACGATCGTGAGTTTGACGACAGACATCGAAATCGTGCCTTTTGCACTCGTTAGCGTCAGGTGAAGCATGCTGAGGTACGCAGGATGGTCGTGAGACAAGATGACATCGAAAAAGTTGAGCGACTGCTGCATCGCAATGATATGGTCTGCCGAAACACACAGGAAAGGGGAATTGTGTCAGTTTTCAAGCGGCAACTCTCTGCAAAAAAGTTTTTCACACGAGACGTACCATACAAGTCACCGAGATAGATGGCAATATCTTGTTTTGCGTCATCACTGCGTATCAAACCCAGATTTGACTCGAGCGTTCGCTTGCGTAGACCTCGAACGACGTCGACCTTTGGTCCCAGCAGCCGGCTGAGACCGGTGACGAGCTTGCGCATGTCGGTGATGCGGACAAGCATGACACCGCGATCAAACTTGGTATCGCCGATGAAAGCCCCACTGTCTTCACCCCGCACCGCCGGAATGGCTTCCTGATCCGCCAGGCCACTCGAAAGATAGAAATGGTGCTCTGAGCTGTCGATAAGCATCGACGTCTCATATTGGCGTGTCGTTGTCGTCACCCATGATCGTGGAAAAGCCCGCAGAACCGGCTTTGGGATCTTCAACTTGGGTGCCCACCTTAGCGCTTGCACCGTCGCAATTCTACGAATAGTGGCACGTTGAACGGACACGCTGGAGTGACTGGGACTCGACTCTTTCTCTTTTTCGACATCCTGGATCCCGTTGACCGAGATACCGACAACGTCTGGTGCCGGTACTTGTACGACACCGGCTGCATTTGTAACGGTCGTGCCGTGGCCAAGCGGGTCGGCCAAGTACGCGTCAACTTCGTTCGCTTCTGCCTCGATAAAATCAATGATGGGAAAGAACGCATCGACCATGCTGTCCATCAGTCCGTACGCAATCCAGTCTGGGAGCGCAAGACGCGTCAGCGATTGCAGACTGCAAGAAACGGCAGCACGACTGACGTGACGACATGCTCTTGGACAACCCAAAAGTTTGCAGCTTGCCTTGCACACGGTCATGGTGTTTCGAGAAATCTTCGAAATGAAACTGTATCATACGACGCGGTCAGTACAGTGCGCTGAGCTGTCTCTCTCGACAAAGCTTACTGATATGATGCCGTCACTGAAGACGCAGAGATACACGTTGACTGCGCCGACGCCGACACCCTCGACACCTTCCTTGCCGCCGACGCCCTCGACAATATCGACTCGGCCTCGCAGACCGGTGCTAGCACCGGGCACGTGCGAATCTAAGGAACCACGCCTGCCGCGTTCCGCCTGCCCCGCGAGGAGATCGGCAAAGTCTGTCTGAGAGTTTTCAGGCGACGTGTACTTGAAGTAGCTCTCGTCGAGCGCTCGAAAGATGATAAAGTAGTAACCGAGTGTCGGGAATGATTCTATCTTTTCCCTCGTTTCTTGATGTAGGATGTCTTCCATTGTCAGTGGATGGAGCGGCAAGTGCTGTCGAATTTTGATCAGTGAATCTGGGATCCTCATTTGGCTGGGCTGCTCACCTTGCGTATCTCGCGCATGTCGGCAACGGACGGACACATGACGTCAAGCCACCACGCAGGACCGTTTTCGTGTGCTTTCAGTCCTCCGAATCGCTTCTCTTCGGCCATTGCCGCCTTGCGCTCGCCTTTCAGCATCCGATGGTGTGGCGGGTCCAGCGGCGTCGAGACTTCAGGAGTAGACACTCCACTCGCTTGAGCCAAAGACGGCTCAGCCGGTCCAAAGTAGTCGCCGTCATCGTTCAGCGGCGCCGCAGACGCGCCCAAGTCGCCACCAACGCCATCTACCTGTCTTCGTTCCTGCCAGAACTGCTGCAATCGATCTAGTGCTGGTTCTAGTGTGGCAGAATTGAGGATGTCAAATACAGGCGCACCGAACGGGGTCGTGCCGGGCGTGTTTGGCAACGAGCGATTCGCACCAGGGAACAAATGTGGCGGGTACGCGAAATGCGGTCGCGTAAGGTGCGGAGTAAGGAGTGTGAAATGAGGCACTGGAGGATCCCATCCACTATCAGACCCGGACGACGACGAGGATGTTGATGAGCCCGAGGATGAATTTCGCCAGAAGCGCCATCCGGCCCACGTCGAGCTGGACCTAGTCGACCCAGAGCTGCCTGTCGAGGAGCCAGTCGTGCCAGACGACGAAGTTGAGCTGGACGACGAGGACGAGGACGAAGAAGAGCCCGACGTGAAAGATTTGCCGCCGATAGATCGAGTCCGCCGTCTCCGTTTCCTGCGCCGCACAGTGCGCCAAGCAGACTTGACGCGAGACCGGGCCGAGCGACCGGACCGACTTGATCGGCCTGTTCGACTAGAAGCCAGTGAGCGCGATTTATTCCGCCGACGTCGTCGGCGAGGCGTCGGCGTATACAATGGATGCGGAACTCGATCAGCTCGTGAAGGACCGCCGTGTTCCGGATGAGGTTCGTCATCGTCGCGAGGCGCAAAGGCCGGCTCTGGGGACAACTCTGCAAAGTCTCTCTGGATAACGACTTCCGCAATGTCTTGCTCTGGTCGTGGCGGCTTGGGACACCTCTGATGATGTAAAATTGGCCGTAGTGGGATATTGGTGTTGGGCAATCTGCCCGATGACGCGCTATGAAATCTGTTCGGAGACGCGTTGGCAAGTTGCTGGCTCATCGCAAAGGATCTCTTGTCCTGGTCTGTCAGCAGAGAGCCCGTCTCGTCGATGGCCAGGACGGGTGCGGGAAGCGTCAAATCTGGTAGATTGGCGTCGACGATTGAGAAGCGGACGTGACTGCGCGTCGAAGCAGGTACAGGCGGCGAAGTTTCATGTGGCGAGGGCATTTGGCCCGGCTCGACTTCGCGCGCATTTGGCCCGAGCGCGGACGACGGCTCGTGGGCTTGATCATCTGTGGGTCCTGGCCGATGCAGGTCGCTTGTTTCGCGCCAGCTGTTGTCATTTACCGCGCCGCCTGACATCTCGGCGCAGGTCGAGCCATCAGACGTTGTTGCGTCCGGGCAGCACAGCTGTCGTCGAGCAGAGCGTCAAGCGAGCAAGCTGGGTAGACCTGCACAGGATCGGACGCGTCAGCCACGTTCAGCGGCAGTGTCGTCGTTTGACGACGAGAAGCCTGAGGACGCGAGCACGCCTAATCGAAAGCGCGAGCCATCAGATTGCACCCAAAAATTCTGAGGAAAGTGTCCAAGCTGCATACTTGTCGAGTGCTTGTATGCCACTTACGTTGGTCGCGTATCTGTGCGTTCAGCTCTGGACCGGCTCAGGTCTTGCCTGGCGCGGATGCCGCTCAAGGCCACGTGAGAAACCCAAGGATAGTAGGGTATTTCCTGCCAGCGTGAGGAGGCCCTCGGCGCCTGTGAGGGCGGCGCGCACACAGCAAGGGTGGAAAGCGGCGAAGGACTTGTTGCGAGACCGCACGTGCGGTGCGGACTGTTATATTTAGGACACGATGCAATCATTACAAGGAGCTAGCAGGCGATCGTCTAATAAGGTAGTGCAACCTTCCCTTTCGTCTTCTCGTCGCGCTTCGCCTGCAAGGTGAATTTCAGTGAGTGGACCCGCCTGCCTGCCTGCCGGCGAAGCTGTCGCTGAAGTACGCCGTGCGCACCTGTTCCCACGCAGCCATCTTGGCATCTGCCTGCTCGGCTGCACTCTTGAGTTCCTGTTGTCGTTTGTCAAAGTTGCGTTCCCATGCTTTGCCCTTGAACGCGGCGCCCTTGCGCCCGGCATATGGTCCTTTCTTTTCGAGCTGCACCTCGTCCAAAATACGCGACGAAGGAATTCGGGGATGGGACCTGAGCGTGGACACGACGCTCGGCCGGCCTGCATCATCACGTAAAGATGCAGAGGCTGATTTGAACGGCGGCGGCAACGCCTCGGTGGGCCATCCGAGCATGTTGGCCTGCCGCCTGAGTGCCTTTTGCCGTCGCAGAGAGTATTTCGGAGCGGTCCATGACTTGGCACCAGGCGCCTTTGTCGGTGCAAACGGGTTCGAGCTCGATGCAAACGCGCCCGGCACTTCCTCGAACGATGCAGGCACGCTCGCGGGCGATTCGCGTAACAGGAATGCCCTCAGAGGATCTCTCCGGCCAAGAACTCTGAGCGTCGACGGCGGTATCCGGGATGCCATGGCTTGAGCGAAACCAATTGAGCGGACCTCGGCGCTGCTGCCGCCATAGTTTTGAAGTGCCATTAGACCGAAAGAAAAACATACGATGACATCTGCTTAGAGCTTGTAGAAATCACGTAAGGTCTACTGGACTACAGTCATCTCGCACGGAGTCTAGCAATTTATGACTTCTTCTGACTGCACTTTGTCTGCGCCGACGGTTGAGAGGCAGGCCTCGGAGTCGACACCAAAAAGGTAGGGCAATCTAGGAGACAAAAGGGATTCCGCTGGTCGCGCGGATCAGACCAACCACAAAAAGAAACGAGATGGGCCCTTGCCCGGGATCGAACCGGGGACCTCACCCAAATAAGATTGACGAAAACCCTAAGGGTGAATCATACCACTAGACCACAAGGGCGTGTCGGCCCAAAAACCGTACCACAGTATATATTGTTGTACAACAATTTTCGGGGCGCCAAAATTGCAAATGTATGCTGCCACCGCAGGGTGATACCTTCAGAGCGACCTCCGAGGCGTTTCGGGCCGTGGCAAAAATTCCCAACGCGAGCTAGCCTATTTCAACGATTGCACAGCCATAACATTACACCTTCCGTGTAAGCACGGCTCTAGAAGGTCGAACATAATAAAAAAACTGCTGACCGGGGGAAGACGGTGTCGAGCACGATATGAAGCGTTCCGCTAGTAGGAAACCGCTCAAGTTCAAGGCCATGCGCTGGGCTTGTGAAGCAATTCTGCAGTCCTCCAAGACCCTTCATTGACTCACTGATCTTCTTCCGCGGCGGCTGAGAGCCACGAAGAGGGAAGCGTTGACACGAGCGATCTGATCCGGGGTAGAGCTCTCCACAATCCTGCGCGATTGACATGCGTTGGTACAAGCAACAACATGCATTTTCAAGCGTCTTTTACGGCCATCATTCATCTGATACGCATCCATCTCCCTCCGCAATACAAGCAGCAGGTAGCCGCCCTCAAGATCGCGTCCACTACACCGCCGTTGTCGGGCTCGTCCGCGCCACTTTTCTGAACAGCATGTAGCCGGCCGAGCGCTTTGCGCTCGCAAGAGACGCACGTGCGAACGTCCGTAGAGGAAATGACAGAAAAGGTGATCGAGCAGCGTTCTGAGCAGCCGTTGAAAAGAAGGTGAGCTGACTCCGGTATGCAATGATGGACAGACAACATTGCTTACCCCACTTGTGCCCATTGACGCAACTGGCGTCGCGAATGTTGACTAGTGGTACAGACGCAGAGCAAGCGGGGCAGGATTCGTCCTGATTAAACGCCGATACCAGAGCGTCTGGAGGTAGCAGCATCACGTCTGCCGGATCGACAGGCGGCAGAGACGCCGACGCGAGCGAAATTCGACCAAGGATGGCCAGTTCTCGCGCTAGTTGCGCCAGTCATCAGCGGGCGGATGTCAGTGCACGAGACCAGCTCACCTTGCAGATGCCCTGAAGCCCGAGAAAGTACCCCCGCAAGACGTAAAGCAATCTCTCTCGCAATCCTGCGAGCAATGATTGTATGAACGATCAGAATCTGATGTTGGCAATCTTGCGCCAGATGAGGGTGGCGCTGCAGATCTGTCAGCCGGTGCATCAGCTGATCGACATACTCCACCCACCATTGCAAAGCGCACAAGCGTTTCTCTGACGCGAAGGTGCTCGATGGTGGCGTCACGCATTAGCACGTCGCAAAATGCTGCTGCAACGCTCTCGGGAGACTTGATAGGATCTTGAGCAGCCGCGGGTACGTCCAATTCCATTGCATCGGAGAGTGAGCAGATAAAATCGACTGTCTCTCGGTTGGCAATGTCTTGATTTAGAATGTGGAGCGGAAGTAGCACTCTTCGCGCTACAGCCGCGTGATCTGTTCGGCAACAATCATTCTGCGGTGGTCTATCATTGACGAGCAATGCTCTCACCTTTGGCTGAACCACTCAATTCACTCAAGATGGAGTCGACGCTAGAGCGCAGCGCATTGCTGCCTGAGCTGGTCGTGGCAAGTTGCGCAACGACAAGGATGGACGCGGTTGACGCATTTGTCTGGTACAAAATAGACGTGGGTCGTGCCACTCTGCAAAGGTCCACAGGCCGTTAATAGAGCGTAGCGAGCACCGTGCAAACGTTCACGGACGAGTAGTGCCATGCTACGATTTCACCCGCTTGAAGGTCGGCAAATCCGCCGACGCAAGGCCCTTCTCGGATTCTAGCATTCGTCATATTTTGATCAGCCTTTACGGCAGAAGACGCCGGACGCGACTGCTCGAATATGCTGAGAGCTCTTTCGCTTAAGAGCCTCGTTGATTCAGCCCCGTCCTCGGTTCGAATCAGGCGCGGTCTCTCTCCTAGAGCGATGACATGAATAGACCCTTCTTCAAGCGCAACCCAAAGCTGATCGCGTGCCGCAGACAATGCCAGACCTGCCGATGGTGGTCAGTGAAGATCTTTGCAATCCGTGCTGGCAGCTTACCCGAACATGTGGCGTAGGCCGATGAGCCCATCCAGATCCTCTCCGTCTCCAGCTCGATTTGCTCGTTGCTATTCATCTCAAAGTTGGATGCCCCTTCGTCGGTACTGGACATCGTCACAATGTTCACGACTCCGAGCTTGGTGTACGCCAGCCGCGGCTAGAGAAAAAAATCAGAATCTCCGCAAACTATACATCTTTGTTGCTGCGTACCTGAAGCTCTGCGCCAAACCATAGTAACCGAGTTACCGGTCGACTATCTGGTCGACATAGTAAGCGAGGATTCAACGTCGAGACTCCGGCAGCGGCCGGTCCTTGAGCAGGGTTCTTCGAGGCATCAACAGTGAGCAGCGTGTGCGAAAAGGGTACATCCTGCGAGACCTCGATGGACCATACGTTGCCCTGGGCATCGCCTACCGCCAAGAGAGCCACGGCTAGCCGTCGATCTTCTGCGCGCTCAATCAGCACGATATACGCCCTGCCGACTCATATCATATTCACCAGCGCTTTGCACGATGTGCCACCTAGACCAAGCGACGTTGACAATGGATCCCGCTTTCTCGTCGACACGGTGGCGCTGCATGATTTCCATTCCCCGACTATTTCTCCTGATGAGCACCAATTGTGATCAGAGCAGAAGTTGTGACCGCCTGAGTGTCGCCGAGCTCACCTCCAGAGCGCAATGTGGCCGCTGCGGTACCCTACGGCAAGAATTGACCAGTCGCCGTGCGCATCATGAACTGCTTCAGACCAGGCGACCGCTGTGCAAGCGTGTCAATAACCATCTCATCATATCATCGCATCGGCACGTACACATAGCTTGGCATTCGAGCACCCTGGCAACCACGACGAGCCGCTCTTGAAGGGTGTACACGCGGTTCTCGGCAAAGTTCTCGTCTGCGACGAACGCCGTGTCAATAAAATCTAAGTTGCCCACGTTGCACTCCCGGTGACTAACCAGGTAGCGCGATCCTGATCAAATGGCTGGTGAGATCGTACGTCTTCGCAGACTACGCGTTAGACAGTGTCATCGGTCTGGGTCACACAGGCTTACCTCTGACCATTCGCCTTTGTGAGAATTCTTGCTCGGTTCGAACAAGAGGACCTCGCAATTATTTGTGAGCGTGGCGAGAACGCATCTGTCGATGAGGTCCTTCAACTGAAGATCACTTTTTGGCGATGTGCAGCGCAGTGCCTACCCTCCAAGGAGCCCGATACCTGACGGTGACCATGAAGCCGACTGCCAGAAAGGTTCAGCCATACCGGGTGTGGCCACCTGCATTTCTGTGGCGAGAGCAAGTCCGGATCAGAGCCAGCGTCACATCGCCACAGCGCATCATCAGCCGACTTGCCATTGACCCATTCGGCCCACAAGACAATTTCCTTCTTCTCTATGGGCAGAATTGACCTGAACAGCGGAATCATGCGCTCGCGATCGACTGGATCGACTCTTCGTGCAAGGTCAGGCTGCGAGTCGACGTCTGCTGCCTTGGTCGCGTGCGATGGGGCCTTTTCGACGATATTTGGGGGCTTGTCAACTTGTATTCCGAGGGCTGGCGTCTGCGCGCGGCCGCTGTGAGCGTGTGCAGGCGAAGACGCGACTGGTATCGCGCGAGGCAGGACTGACAAACACATTGATCTCGCCACGCGTGAGCACAAACAATTGTCCGTCTTGGCTGTAGCCGACCGTAGGCTGCGCCGAGGACAAGGGTGTATACGGAAAGAGGCTGGTGGCCAGCACCTGGCCATGGCAGCCTGGGGACGGTGTCATGCAGGCTGCGAGAGGGTCAGCAGGCACGCCCAAGCTGCCAAATTGGGCGAGGAGGCTGTGACGGTTGCGAGCTTGCAATCGACGGCTAGACAAGCGGCGCCGCCAGAGCGCAAGCCTCAGCGGCCTGAGCGGCGCACCGCAGTTTACTGTTATGTCATGCGTTTGAGCTTTCGGAACGGCCCCTGTGAGACTCGAACCTCTCCGTGCTGCATCCAAGCACTGCTTGCCACTTTTGCACATCTCACGTGACCTTGATCGATGGGTTCGGTCTATTTCCCCCCACGCACGTTGCTGACGCATCCATCTCGCTTCTTGGCACCAGAGACATCAAGCACAAGTTTCGAGTGGACTTGACTCTGCTGTGACCATGGCACCGCAACCCATCAACGTGGCCGTGCTCGGTGTCGGCATGTCCGCGACCGTGTTTCACATCCCTTTCATCCAGGCTCTGCCTGACCAATTCAAGCTCGTGACCATCTTTGAACGCTCGGCAACAGCTGACCGATCGCGAGCGCGAGAGCTGTTTCCGACCGTCAAAGTGGTCAACAAGCTCGAGGACGTGATTTCTGATCAGACTATCCAGCTCGTATTCGTCTCTACGGTGAATGACACGCATTACGAGTACTCGAAGCTTGCACTGGAAGCCGGCAAACACGTCGTATGCGAGAAACCTCTTACGCCGACGTCAAAAGCAGCCTACGAATTGGCAGAGCTTGCAAAAGATCGCAACCTCGTTCTCGCGGTGTATCAGAACAGACGGCAAGTTTTGGCACATAGGTAATTATACTGCGACAAAGGGCTTACTTTGAGCTGGAGAAACAGATGGGATGCAGACTTCTTGACCATCAAAAAGCTCATTGGCGAAGGCGCGTTCGGACATCTGTCAGAGTTTCAGGTGAGCTGTTCCGGCGAGGTTTCAGAAGCCTGTCGACACTGACAGGAAAACCGCTTGCAGTCGAACTTTGACCGGTACAAGAATGAGGCGGCAACGACAAAATTGTGGAAAGAGGAAGATCGACCAGGCTCCGGCATGCACTATGACCTAGGATCGCATCTTGTACGTCTCTTGCAGACATGTACCAACAGTCGATTTAGCTTTTAATTTGAGAAATGACGATCGTGTTTTTTCCGCAGGTTGATCAGATTCTTGATCTTTTTGGAAA